AGCGGAGCAGCGCTACTGCATCACACGTAGGGAACTCCTGGCAGTCGTTCACTTCGTGCAGCAATTCCGACCCTACCTGTATGGTTGCAAATTTACGGTCCGCACTGACCACGCCGCCTTGCAGTATTCGCTCCGCATTGACCAGCCTTCGGGCCAGCTGGCCAAGTGGATAGAGTGCTTGCAGGTGTACAGGTACCAAGTGGTGCATCGCAAAGGGACCAGACATGCCAACGCAGTTGCATTATTCCGACTGGCGCCCCAGGGCCCCTGTGCATGCACCACAGGCGGGGCACGCTGCAAGGAGGCGAGGCCGGAGGGGACGGTCATCGCTCCCGTATGCACGGCGGAGGGCACACAGGGTGAGGTCCAGTTGACCGACCACCACCTGGGGCTGACCTTGGACGATTGGAGACATCTACAGCTGGAGGAAGCCCCACTGCGAACGCTACGCGCCTCAGCAGAGGCAGGGGGGGAGGAGTACATCGTATGGGAGGACCTCCTCATGAGATGGGACTCGGCAGGGTGCCGGCGATGCCTGGTAGTTCCGGAGTCGCTGCGTCAACAATTGGTTATGGACGTGCACGGTCGCCAACTGCTGCACCTGGCGGGGCGGAAAACACTGTACATATTATAGGGTCGGTACTTTTGGCCAGGCATGACCGCTGACGTGCACCGATGGGTCGCTACCGGCGTCGAATGTGCGCGGCGAAAGCCGTTACCCCGGGTAAGCCGGGCGCCCCTACAGCCCTTCACGGTGACCAGGGTCAACGAATTGGTTGCGTTGGACATCCTGGGACCACTGCCGGTCATGCCATGGGGAAATAAATACCTGTTGGTTGGGGTTGAGTACTGCACGAGGTGGCCGATGGCGTGGGCCCTCCCGGACCAAACGGCACAGACCATCGCCGATGCCTTCGTGGGAGGATATGTCCTTGATAAGGGGGCACCGGAGCGGTTGCTCATGGATCAGGGCAGGAATTTCTCCTCACGGCTATTGAAGGACATCTGCTCTATCCTGGGCACTAAAAAGGTCCGAACATCTCCGTATCATCCCCAGACCGATGGGATGGTAGAGCGGCTTAACCGCACCATAGCGGCCATGCTGTCCCAAGTGGTGGACGAAAACCACTCCGACTGGGACCTCCACATTCCATCGGTCTTAGCAACGTACAGGGTGGCCCCGCACGCGGCAATGGGGTTTTCGCCGTTTTTCCTGATGTACAGACGGGGTCCCGTTCCGCCTAATGAGGTGCAGCTGACGGACATTCCCGCAAGAGCTGACGCATGGCCGAAGGCACTAAAGACCTCCCTCATTTATTTGAGAGAGGCCCGCCAAGCAGCCGAGGCCGCATCAGCCAAGAGAGTAATGCACGGATATGGGAGAGGACAGTGACTGCCAAGCCCTTTAAAGTCGGGGACCAGGCATGGCTACACTGTCCTCAGGTGCCGGTTGGCCTCTCAACAAAGCTGCACCGACCCTGGAAAGGGCCGGTCGAGGTCATTAAAGCACTCCGACCGCAGTGCGTCCAGGTCCAACTGGGTAAGCGACGATGGTTTGTACACCCCACCCGCCTTAAGCCATACATCTGTCCACCGTCATCTCCACCAACATCACCACCAACATCACCGCCAACATCATCATCATCATCCCTACCCAGGCCAAGGTCGCCGACCACCACCGCCGACCAGCAGGGGGTTCAGTGCCCTGTGTTCCCTTGTCACCTACAGCGCCCCATGTGAGGCCTGACGGAGCGGCGGCACGACCGGGGGCTGCGGGGGCCGGAGAGACAGCGGCGCCAGGCAAGGCGACACCGGCGCCACCGAACCAGGGACCGCGACGAGAGGGCCTTCGAAGGAGGGGGCCGCCACGGTCATCTGCTGCCTGTGGATGTCCGGGCTGTTACGGGACGCTGGCTGGAGACCCGGGCAGGCCGTGCAATTGATTTTGTTGTGTTATATTGCATTGTATGGTTGTGGGGGGGTTAAGGGCTGTCGTCACTGTCAGTGGGGGGAGGCATGGGGAGACTTAAATGGTCCATGGGGGAGGCAGAACCGAGGACTTTTTTTTTTCTCCGGGGGCGGGGGTGATGTAGGGGTGTCGGGGGAAGGATTCCCACCAATAGGAGGGTTAGTGGGAGGGGTGATCGAGGAGATATAAGGGAAGAACGGGCTGGAAGATGGGGCCTTTGGCGGGAACGAGATTGGGACAGCTGGGGACAGGTGTGGATGGGAGAAAAGGATTAAAAGACGAAACCCCTACAATCTTGTGTCGGCTCTCCTTTACAGTAGTGTAGTGTAGAACCCCTCCCCAATGATCACTTCTGTTAACGACTAATCGCTTAACGACGGGTCTCCATTGACCATTCCCCTGTTGACGACGGGCTGTTGTCGGTATTTGTTTATAATAGTATTAGTATATTCCTGTTTTCATATCCATTGTTTTAAATGCTATAAAGTACGTTTTGGGTGAAAAAGGTAACTTTCGAAGCTATCAGAACAAATTAAGCCTTTAACGGGTATTTCATAGACACACTTAACGACCAAATCACTTAACGACCGATTTCGTGGGACAAATTAACATCGTTAAGAGGAGGGGTTCTACTGCACGAGGGGCTGGAGTGGTCCTCGTTCACCGGGGCCGGGTGGCGGGGGGGTTGGGGGCTCCTGCAGAGGAGCGGCTGCTGTGGTGTCAGCGAGTCGGTGGCCGATGCTGCTGGTGCATGGAGCAGCTGTGTGCGGTGCTGCCGTGCGGGCGTGGCTGCTGCTGAGCAGGGTCGCTCTGAGCGCTGTTGAGAGCAACCAACCAACTCCCTAGGCTGCGGCTGCGTGGAACCATTAAAGGGCACCGTTGTGTGTGCGAGCCAAGGTTGAGGTTTATGCTGCTTTGAATCCTTGGAGTGCTGCACTACCGTTAGGTCCTGGGGGGATCCCTGAGGCTGCAAGCGACCTCGAGAGTGAATATTGCGCACCAAGCTGGTGGGCTTCTGCCGCGTTGCCTCGTCACCCCGGAGCGGAGCGCGCGTCAGGGTTGTGGTGCGAACGGTCGTCGCGGAGTTCTGTGCTCATCGAGGCGCTGTAGGGTCGCCGTGTTACGCCGGTGGACTTACGGCGTTATGTAAACGTGCGCTGTTACTGTTGCCGAGACTTTTGAAGAGTTGTTTGCACTTGGTTGTCAATAAATTATTATCCGCCACATTTGGTTTGCGTCCTTGAGCAAAGTGTTTCAATATTGTATGACGAATCGAGATATGGTTAATTAATTCCAAATCTTGTTAAGTTTCTGTGTATTCCTGAGCCATACTCTTAGGTTTTTTCAGTAAATTCACGTAGGTAAAAAATAAATAATAAAAATTTATAATAATAAATAATAGAAAAAATTATAAAAATAAAATAATAAATCACGACGTTTCGGAGGAAACACAAGCTTCTGTCTTCAGGTGGAACCGTCACAGCACAATTGCTGTATCAGCATCAGCAATTGTGCTGTGACGGTTCTTTGCAGTCACGAAAGCTTCAAATCTATAATTCCTGAGCCAGTTAATGTCCTTGTTTTTGTCGCCATTAAAGCAATGTTGAAAAATCCGCGCTGGTGCCCAAGAAGAAAATGTATTGTGGGAATTGCAGGGCAAAGAAAATGGATCCTAACTGCTTTCTCTTGCCTTTGTACTGATCGTGTTTTAGTGTTCTCTGGTCTACAAACATTGGTGGTGAGACTTGGCCATGAAGAAGGCTGCTGTCTCTGGTGTAGGCCAATCAGTTTCAAGACAATGCCTTTACATTATCAATGGATGTTTTGTTTGCATATTCACCACAAGTACTGTGTGTGGTTAATGCAGACATGATTCCTCGCAAAAGTTTCTGTTTGGTGTTTTAACATCTTAACACAACTCCTGTTTAATTGCCAGAAAGGGTAACACTTATTCTTATATTTTGATATTGGAAAAGGAAGTCCCATGAGATGTTAAGATGTTCGAACACAAAATTGATGCCTTTTGTAAGGAATAAAGTGTGCATTAACCACACAAACTTACTTGGTGTTTGAACATCTAAACACAACTCGCGTTGTATTGCCAGATAGGGTAAAACCTATCATTATTATCTTCTCACACTTTGATAGCGGAAAAAAAAATACTATTTAGTTTTTTTTTACGCGCTGATGTTGATGTGTTACGGCCGCACTACCCCTGGGGCACCTGCCCCCCGCCCACATGAGCAGGTCACGGTGCCGGGTTCAGCAAAGGGCCTCGCCCGGTGGTTTGTGGCTCCACAAACTGGATCCTGAGCCACAGCCACGTGACCGAGTTAAACGTGACAACTCCCACCGGTGTCTCACAGCTCGACTACTGGAACGTGACTTTGAGACAGGAACACATTATTTTCATGAAGTAGTTTAAAGTGTTAAACTTAAAACTAAAAAAATAAGGCTGAAATACGAAGTTAACAACAACAATCTCGTGGAGTAGAGCGGCAGGGAGCAACGAGTTTATTAGCAGCGTTCCCCTGCCAGTTCAGCTGATACGAGTTGAGATGAGTTGAGATGAGGTGAGATTAGGTGAGTTGAGGTGAGTTGAAGTGAGTTGAAGTGAGTTTAGGTGAGTTGAGGTGAAGTGAGTTTAGTTGAGGTGAGATGAGGTGAGTTGAGTTACGATGGGGTGAGGTGAGTTGAGGTGAGATGAGTTGAGGTGGGGTGAGTAGAGGTGAGTTGAATTGTGATTAGGTGAGTGAGGATGAGGATTTGAGACGAGGTGATCTGAGTCTTCTTTTTTAAGCCACCCCTGGAATGGAGACGTCTGTACTCGCTCACACGTCAACACATTCCAGGGCATATCTCATGATATGCAAATAAAACTGAAAGACGTCCTGCTTCCTTGTCACCTATTGACGTGGCTTGTTCCTCGTTCAGCGTCTCAGACGCAGCCAGCGACTGCCTGAGAAACAGACAGCGACTGCCTGAGCTCCAGCCAGAGACTGCCTGAGCTTCAGCCAGCGACTACCTGTGCTACAGTCAGTGTCCGTCTCAGAGTGAAGCCACAGGGCCATGGCGAGTGCGGCTCCCAGTGGTAGCGCGGCTCCAGGGGAGTTGACCTGCCCCATCTGCCTGGACGCCTTCCGCTGCCCTTGCACGCTCAGCTGCGGCCACTCGTTCTGCCTCAAGTGCGTGGAAGACGCCTGGGATGCGGCCGAGTTCTTCTCCTGCCCGCAGTGCCGAGTGACTTTCCCTTGGAGGCCCAAGCTGAGCAAGAACGTGACGCTCACTAACCTCATCGAGCAGCTGCGAGTGGCTGAGCCCATGGCTGCCGATGCTGCTGCTTCTGTTGTTTGCTGCGATCATTGCAGGAAGCCTGCAGTGAAGACTTGCCTCAAGTGTGATACGTCGTTCTGTATGACCCACGTCGCGCCCCACCGGCAGTTGGCAAAGTTTAGTGACCACGTCCTGGTGTCGCCCGGTGTGAACCTGGAGAATCGACGGTGCGCGGAGCATGGAGACGAGTACCTCTTCTACTGCGTTAACGACGGACGCCTCGTCTGCAGGGACTGCACCGTCACTGTAAATCATCGAGGGCACGAGCTCGTCACTCTGAAGGTGGAGCACGACAAACGAAAGGTGAGAAGGAGGTTCTCACGGTCACCGAGCAGTACCCACGATACCGCAGCATCAGCTGATGAACTCTGTCCTTGGCTCTCAACAGCAACATCTAACTATAACGAAACCACAGAGAGTGGCTCAGACTCATTTTAAAGTGGATTTAATATTTTACATGCCCGTCAATTTATTTTTCCAACGAGTGTTTGAAGGGTAGATTCATAGTACAGTCGACCCTTCTGCATCGCGACTTTCCCCATCGCGGTTTTAATATATCTCGGGGTCGGCATAAGAAATGAAATGGGCATTTTTGGGCAGTTTTTGGTAGTTTTGCGAAAGCCGCAGACGACACGCGAAGGCCAGCAGATGACACAAAAAGTTTAGTAACTATTTATATGTACAGTATTGTATAATATTAATATATTTTATATTTGAACTAGCTTGTTTGTACGTACAAGGACGGGTGTATATTGCAGTAAATATGAAATATTCAATAGAAAAATTGTTCAGCTCATGATTATTAATGAGGGCGGGGGGGGGGGGGAGGACGTCACCCTCTCATGGTTATTAATGAGGGGAGGGGTGCGGCATGTGGAGTGACGTCACCCGTTCATGATTATTAATGAGGTGGGGGGAGTCCAAGTGGAGGACTCCACCTGTTCATGAATATTAATGAGGGGGGTTGGCCTCATTTGGAGTGACGTCACGCGCGGGACACAGACCATAAATATACACAATTTTTTTAAAATTAATTTTTTTTAAAAGTTAGTTTGTGAAAAGAACTGCGGTTCTATGCACTGGTTTGGAGGGCACCAAGCGTGTTTACGGCAGCCTCTCACTTGATATCTCGCAGTGACCTCGCAGTGATCTTTGTATCTCGCGTTTCTCGTATCTTTTTGTACCGCTTCGCTCGCCAAGGGGACCAAGGAGACCAAAACATTTTACGCGGTTTTTTAGATCACGGGGGGCCTGCGCCTCAAAATCCCGCCAGGTGGAAGGGTCGAATGTATACAGGTGTAGTGGGTTAAATTCAGGCGCACACTGGAACTTTGGAGGCAACACTATTTATTAGGTAACATAACAATTAACACTTAACATAACGACTTAAGGTGGTAGCCACCTTTCCTAACTTAACTAACACACGGGGATACTACATCACTGGACCAGGACAGCCGTACACGCTGCCTGGTCCACTAGCGGAGACAGGAGAGCTTCACCCCAGAGATGACCCAGCAGCAGCCCAGAATAGCCCAGAACAGCACAGCCCCTGGCCCGCTTTTATCCGGTCACGTGTCCTGTTGGGTTCACGCAGTGTCACGGCCCGACACGACCCCCGTGACACCTGCATACAGCCCCCATACCGAGCCAATACAGTAGTGTCATTCTACTACACTACACAGGCATCAGGGTCTGGTTTGAACCCACGACCTCCTGTTTAGCAGGCAAGGCAGATAACATCTCACCACTATGGTGCCCTGTCCACCCACTACTCAGATAGCCCCGTCCACGACTTGGATAGGCCCGCCCACTACTCATGTAGCCCCACCCACCTCTTGAGTAGCCCCGCCCACCACTCTGATAACCGCTCATTACTCAGGTAGCCCCGCCCACTACTCCAGTAGCCCTGCCCACTACTCCAGTAGCCCTGCCCACTGCAGAGGCAGCTCCATCCACGGTAGCTCCACCCACAACTTAGGTAGCCCCGCCCACTGCCCAGATAGCTCCAGTAGCCACACCTAACACTTAGGTAGCTCCACCCACTGCTCAGGTAGCCCCACCCACTACTCAGGTAGCCCCACCCACTACTCAGGTAACTCTGCCCATTGCTGAGGTAGCTCTACCCACTACTCAGGCAGCCCCACCCACTACTAAGGTAGCTCCACCCACTACTCAGGTAGACCCACCCACTACTCAGGTAGACCCACCCACTACTTAGGTAGCTCTGTCCACTACTTAGGAAACCCTGCGCACTCTTCGAGCTCCTCGTGAAATCAGTTCCCTGCAGCCCTTGCTCCCCAAGCCTCCATTGCTGCACCGGGGCTACTGCCCCCGCCACTGTGGAGGGGTTCACGTGGAGCGGGGTTGAGAGGGGACGCTCAGAGAGTGAGTGGAGTCTCCCCTGGTGACGTCTCTCACAGAAACAAGTGGGAGATGAGACGCGGGCAGTGGAGGAGAAAAGGAAGGAGGCGGAGGAGTCCGTGAGGCGGATGGAGGCCGCTCGCAGGGACGTGCAGGTACCGCGTCTGGGCCGGACTCTGTGACCCCGTGACTCTGCCCTGAGTAGGGTTTGTGATGGAGAACAACTCCATTCATTCACGTGGATTTCCATTGGCTCTAAACACATCGTGAGACTAAAGACAAAGCGGTCAATGCACCTCAATAATCAGGACGAGCATAGAGATGGTTCTCATCTCCACTGAGAAACTGAAGCAGTGGTGGAAATTCCACATTCCCATATCTCCATACAACTTACCACTTCAACGACTGTTAACTATATTGGTCAGATGAGGTGGTACATACCTCTTATCCAATACTCTGGTGGCAGAGTTGGTGATCACACATAGACTGTTGTACACCATCATACTGACATCACTCAAGCTTTGGGGTGGCCAGGTGGCAGTATAGCAAGTGGTTTCATGATCCCCTCTCTTCAGCCATACATGTGGTTTTCTCTCACATTGAAAATATTAATTTAAGGAGGAATTGGCCTAACTTCCCATTTCAATAAGCCTCTTTACAGATTTCCCTTCGCTTCATGCGAAGGTAAACAAAGCATCGTCCTGATAACCTTTCACAATGACATTGACATGGATGCTAAATGTACTCATGATGGTATTTGATGATTTCATTGCCTCACAGCCCCCGCCAGTTATGGAGAATCGTGTTGTAGTGAAAATGCAAAGTGGCGTCATAAGAGGCAGAGGAAGAAGGAGGCCTCAGTGCTGCAGACTCGTATCACTGTCTGGACACCTTAGAGTTGCACTCAGGTCATTTCACAATGGACCAGAGGTGGCATTTATTTCTCTTTGCAGGTATCCATGACAGATGAAAAGGCCTCAATCTCGGGCAGATTCACCCGCGCGAGAGCAGCGTTGGATGCGGAGGAGAAGGCGGCTTTAGAGCAAGCGGAGCAGAAAGGGCGCGAGCTGCTGTCCCAGATCAAGAAGAAGATCGCTCACTACCAGCGCGAGATCTTCGAGCTACAGGCAGCAGCCACTCGCCTGCAGGCCCTAGCGCAGGAGAGGGACTCGCTCGCGTTCCTGCAGGTGAGCGATGAGTCTCCAGTGTCGCTATTGGCACAGAGCCCTCTCACCAGCAGCAGAGGGAGGCTCCTGAATGAGAGCTCGCATCCACTGGGCTTGAGAACAAAGCTCCACTCATGGATTCGCATCGAAGCTCCAGTGGCTGCCATTTGGAAAGCCAGCTCATATTTTCTCATTTAAATGAATTCTCTCTAAATGGTATTGGATTTGCACATTTTAAATCAACCATACAACAACAATGTGCACGGTATTTATGATTATCATCAGCCATAATCTATCGCCTTATTGATAAAGGCTTCCCCAAGCCATTGCCACATCTCATGATGCCGCGATGCAACAATCCACCAGCGCCTGCTCACGATCCGATGTCATCTCTGCTTCTTACTTCGTGTACCTCCACTTGGATGCGCTACTTTCATCGTTCACATTAGGGATGCTAAAATAAATAGGTCGCATACACTTATTAATTATGTCATTATGTCTTGAACATAACTTCTACAAGACCTACACCATGTGCATTGGTAACACCAGAAATTACCAGTCCCAAGTTAATCTCAACACAGATCAATATCAACCGGTCTCACTCTGAAACATTTGTTTTGCAAATCAGTGTTTGTCCTCATGAGGGTGGCGAGATGTTAACTACCTCGCCCGGTATACCGGAGGTCGTGGATTTAATCCCATCCCTGACGTCCTTATATATTTGTAGTTTTCACGTCTCCCTCCATGGACGCATGGATTTTTCTCCGGGTCCTCCAGTTTTTCACTCCACATTTGAAAACGTACGTTTAGAGTATTAGGCTGCTATACATTTCCACGTGGTGAACCACTTCGTTGAGCTATCATTTGTGGCCAGGTCGCTTCTGAAAAAGAGCTCTATCGCTCCGTGGGACTTACGTGGAAAATTAAAAATAAAGTAGTTATTAGTTGACTATCAAGCGGTCTCACTCTGAAACATGTGCCCCGTAAGTCAGTGTTGGTGATCATGGGGTCATAAGCCAAGACTTTGGGGTTTATATTCCACCCACGGTGTTGCAGTGAGAACTCCACTGATCACAAGGAATTGCAGATAGAATCACAGAAACGCATCTCTCTCTCTCCCATAGGGGCACCTGGAGGAGACGCACAGGAAAAAGACGACTATCACTCACGACTCGACACACTACAACATGGGACTGAGTGTTGGGCGCAAACAGTGAGACACTGACTGTGTGGTGATGCTGTGTGTGATGGTGCTGTGTGTGATGATGATGTGTGATGGTGCTGTATGTGATAATGCTATGTGTGGTGATAGTAATGCTGTGTGGTGATGCTGTGTGCTGTGTGGTTTTGCTGTCTGAGGTGATGCTGTATGTGGTAATGATAACTATGTGTGATGCTGTAACTGTGAGATGAGTGATGATGCTTTGTTTGATCAGTGCCTGTGTTATGGATCTGTGACGACCCCACGCGTGATAATGATGTAATGAGCGTCTATGTGATGGAGCTGTGATGATCCTGTGAGTGACGATGCTCTGCGTGACACAGTGACCATGTCTGCTCTGCTTTCACAGGAGAGGGAGGGCTACAGCAGCTCCACCATCAGCTCCCAGCCAAGAGGACATTGCCTCAATTAAATACCCGCAGACAACTTTGAAACACTTCCCGTGTGAGTTCTTCAGTGTTAATCATGGGTGATGGGGCCATCTTGACAATAAATGATGCCGTGTGTGCACGAGGTCGACTCAGCCTCAAATAATTACCTGGAGTTGTATAAACATCACCACTAGGGAGACAAAGGCGGCCAGGCGTAGTGCAGGCCACCCACCACCTCGTGTGTCGTGCCAGCCTTCAACGGTGCTCATTTGCCCCAACAGTCTGTAAAGGCTACACGGGGGATGTCTTTGTTTACATCCTGGAACCTGATGCTGTGTGTAAACAAAATCGCCACTAGCGAGACAAAGGTGGTCGGGCGTGGTGCTGGCCACCCACCTCGTGTGCTATGCCAGCCTTCATGGAGAAACACGGACAGCACTTGTCCCAATAGTCTGTGACAGCTACACAGAGGATCTCTGTCTTTGTTCACAGTCCATTCCAGGAACCTACTGAACAGAGCCATGAGACTAAGTGTGGTGTTCTTGTGTAAATAATCAGCATTACGAGTCAGGGGTAATTGTTATGTTGAGATGCAGTGTGTGCCTGTGAATGTGTCTGTGCATTTGTGCATGGGGGAGCGGTGGCATACTGGTTAGCACACTGCTCTACAAACCCAGTTACCTGGGTTTGATTACCCGCCATGGTTAACATCCGTGGCAGGTGATATCTGATCCAGTCCTGGGTCTCTGCTAGGCAGTTTCAACCTCAAATTAGTTCCTGATGCTGGTAATGGTCATAATAATGGTGATAGTGGTCGTGATGAGGATGGTGGTAATGATGCTGATGTTAGTGATAATGTGAGTGATGAGAATGGTAATGGGTTTGGTGATGGTGTTTGTCGTGGTGATGGCAGTGATGGTCGTGGTGATGGTAATGATAGTGACATTGGTGATAATATGGTGGTGATGGTTTTGCTGATGGCGCTGATGGTAGTACTGATGATATTGGTGATGGTGGTCATGGTAGTGATGGTGGTCATGATGGTTTTGATGGTCGTTGTAATGGTTATAATGATGATGGTCGTGTTGGTGATGTTATAGTGATGAAGATGGTGGTGATGGGGATAGTTGTGTTGGTAGTGATGATGGTGGTGGTGATTGTTTGTAATGGTGCTAGTGGTGGTGATGATGGTTGTGATGTTGTTGATGTTCATAGTGTTGATGATGGTGGTGATGGTGATGTTTATGTTGTCATTGATTATATTTATGGTGAGGATGCTTGTAATGTTATTGTTGATGGTTAAGATTATGGTTGGTGATGGTAATGTTGATGGTGGTGATGGTGGATGATGGTGATGATGGTTTTCTGTAGTGATGTTGTCATCGCTGTTGTCACAGACGGACGCTCACCGACTCTGGACACAAACTCAGCTCATAACCAACTCCAGATCTCCTCGGATCTCAGGACGATGACAGGGGTCAATGCCTCCCAGGGTCGCCCCGATCACCCACACCGGTTTGATGCCTGTGCACAAGCCCTGTGCCGTGAGAGCTTCTCGTCGGGCCACCACTACTGGGAGGTGGATGTGGAGGGCGCGCAGTGGTGGCGGGTTGGAGTCGCGTACGGGACGATCCCACGGAAAGGGGGTGGGGCTGCACAGTGGCTGGGAGGGAACGATGCGTCATGGTGTTTAGAGAAACTTGGCGACAACTTCTCAGTAGTTCATGGTGGAGTGAAGACTGCACTGTCGGTGAGGGGGGCCCCCTCCCCCCGCAGAATCGGTCTTCACCTGCACTGGGAGGGGGGGCTCCTGACGTTTTACCGCGCCGACTCCATGGAGGTGATTCACGAGGTTCGGCAGAAATTCTTGCAGCCGCTCTACCCTGGGATGTGGGTGCAGTGTTATAATGAACCATTGAAGATCGTGGATCTGAGTCGTGCATCCTGAGGATGGGGAGAGATAGAAACCCAACAAACCGAGACAGAAACCCACGAAACGGATGAAAGGGGGGGATCGTAAGGAGTGGGTGAAGTGAGGGTGAGAGGAAGGTGAAGGTGAGGGGATAATGGAGAGGAAGGTGAGGGAAGGTGACAGGTGAGCGTGGAGGGTGATGGTGAAGAGAGGGTGAGGAGATAATTGGAAGGAGGGGGTATAGGGAAGAGAGGGGGGGCTACTAAGAGAGCTTAGGAGGGAGGGGAAGGTGGATTGGCAGTGCCGGATTAAGCTCGTGCGGGGCGTATAGCATATGTTATAAAGGGGCCCTAAATATTAAAAAACGTAAACATTACAACACAATTTTTTACTTACTAAGAATTTTTAATTTATTTTTTAATTTGTGATACAGCCAGATAATACTACAAATCGCTAACCTTAAACACCCAGTCATTCATATATAGTACTATAGTAAGAGCAAGTGCAGAATCACTGAACCGGAATTGATAGCTTGAAAGAATTTAGTATGGGGCCCTTGAAAGTGCGGGACCCATAGCATTATGTATCTACTTTTGCTACTCGGATAATCCAGCACTGAATGGAGGGTGAGGTAAGGTGAGGGTTAGGGGCGGGTGGGGTGAAGGGAGAGTGAGGTAAAAATTGAGGGGTAAGTTGAGCATGGAAGGGGAGGGTGAGGTTCAGGTTGGTGTGCGTGAGCGATGTCGTCGGTGCGGAAGTTTGAGGGATTTGAATGAAATCTGAGTGGGGAATCAGCGCAGCCCCAGAGTCCGTGTGGCCGCTCCTTCACCTGCAGTGCACGCTCGCGTCACCACGCCTCCTCATCCATGCGATTCACCATCATCACCATCATCATCACCATCATCAACACCACCACTGTCCTCACCATCACCACCATCATCATTACCACCATAATGATCATCATGATCATTATCATTACCATCACTCCATTATCATCACTATCATCACCACCAACCCATCATAATCATCACTATCATCAACACCATCATCATCACCATCACTACCATCACCATCATCATCACCATAACCATCATCACCACGATCACCATAACCACGATCAACATCATCACCAACACCATCACGATCATCACCGCCATCATCATTATTACCACCACTATGATCACCACCATCATCACAATATTCTTATTCTTTGGTTCTTTCGGTAAAGTCACGTAGATAGAAAAATTATAATAATAATAAATTAAGTGAATAAAAATAGAAATAATAAAAGAAATATAAAAAAAAAAACATTCATGTAGACTGTAGCCTGGTTATTAAGTTTGGTGAGTGTACTGGCAGTCTATAATGTAGACTGTAGCAATGATTATTAAGCTGGGTGAGTGTACTGGCAGTCTATAATGTAGACTGTAGCCTGGTTCTTAACCTCGGTGAGCGTACTGGCAGTCTATAATGTAGACTATAGCCTGTTTTTTAAGCAGTCAGGCGTTGCTTAAACCAAGGCTCACGAAGTTTTGCCGACTGGATTCCTGGCTGCCTGCCTGTATGTACTGTATGTTGAAATTATATTGCAATGAATGTAGTCAACTGGGCTAATCGGAGGTGCGGGGGAAGAACAACAAACTAAACACAAAAATCAGTTCTAAAGAAAGTAGTTTGTAAATTTGTATTATTTTAAAGTGAAGAGCTCCAGTGGCTTCATAATAATGTAAAAAAAGCGTTCCAGACGGCCGCACAAGCAGCACCTCTAACAGCGCCACACAATACTGTGACCGTCTTTGTTGGATCCTGCAATGTAATTATAACCATTACTGTACGTATATTTTCAAAAGTTTTGCTGATTGGATTCCTGGCTGTCTGCCTGGCTTCCTGGTGGGCGAGGGATGACATCACCAACGCATCCCACAGCGTTGAGGCGGGTTCCTGCATGGTGCTGATGTAACAGCCCTCCCTCCCAATCCACCATTCACCCCAGGGTGTGCATCCCACGCAAATTAGTGGGATGCGTCATCACGCTATCGTATCATACTCAGATCATCATACTAGCAAACTACATTAGGAAAATAAATTTTGCTGGCTGGATGGCTGGAGAGAGAGATGGAGAAACGGACAGTCAGGTACCAAAAGCCGTGCGGGCTGCTCGCGTTTGATTAGAAAATAAAATTGTGCAATAAAAAATCGAAGGTAAAAAAAACAGCACGTGTTATTGTCTTGAGTATTACTGTTTATTTGAAGTGACTTTAACCTACAGTCTATAGAAAGCAATACACGTGTAGTGGTGATACGCGCTGGGGTAGGGATCGTGTGCCAGCGCGTAGTGATTGGCTGTGTATGTGGTGACGCGCGCTGACGGTGGAGGATCAGGGGTCAGCGCGGGGTCGTGGGTTACGTGGTGCTGATTGGCTGTGTGCCGGTGACGCGCTGAGAGGGAGTGATCGGGTGGCAGCGCGGTGTGATTGGTTGAGTAGTGTTAACACGCGCTCTGGGGGAAAACGGATCGTAGAGATAGCGCGTCGTCATTGGTTAAATAAGGAGCGATGCTCACGTCGACGTCCGCATCAGCTCCGTCTTCCGTGAGCAGGGGCTATAAAAGGGGATGCACACAGGCGTAAAGGCAGTATGTAACCAGCGAAGAATGAAGACGGGGATGAAGAGATAGGGCCCTGCGGTACCTAGTCCCGCTGTCCTAACGGGACCGGGACTCTGGGTAACCCAGAGGCGAATGCATTGTGTGTAGCCATAGGCATAGGGTCTACACGAGTCGAATGCATGGTGTGTAGCCAGAGGCATAGGGTCTACACGAGTCAAGTGCATTGTGTGTAGCCAGAGGCATAGGGTCTACACGAGTCAAGTGAAGTGTGCGTAGCCAGAAGCATAGAGTCTACACGAGTTAAGTGGAGTGTATAGTCAGAAGAATAGAGACCACACGTTGTATTGTGACACGTCAAGATTTAATAAAAGTGTGTTACCCGTCAAGAAGTTCCTGCCGTCATTTCCAATACTTCAACTGGCGTCAGAAGTGAAACGGTCTTCCAAGCATGGATACAAGGAAGACCCGTCGGACCCACGGGATTGACCGCGGGGACAACCTTGACGACTCGGGCGATGCGGCACCGGTCAGGCTAAATCCCTTCCGACTGAGTCCTCCTGAGAAGGAACATGTTCAGTCGGCCGTTAACGATATGCTAGAAGCCGACATTATTTCGCCTTCTTCCAGTCCTTGGGGAGCACCTATTGTGCTCGTTAAAAAGCAGGACGGGTCCTTGCGATTTTGCGTAGATTTCCGCCGCCTGAATAAGATCTCTGTGGCCGACGCGTATCCGCTCCCCAGGATGGACGAGTCCCTCGATGCATTGTCCGGTGCGCGATACTTTTCGACTCTTGATTTATTATCCGGATTCTGGCAGTTGCCACTCGACGAAGAGTCTAAACCTAAGACAGCATTTCGGACTCCAGGGGGCCTGTTTCAGTTTAACCGGTTACCCATGGGACTTCACTCCTCTCCTGCGACATTTCAGCGCCTTATGGAGTTGGTTTTGTCGGGCTTGCAATGGGATACGTGCTTGATTTACCTTGACGATGTCATTGTTTTCAGTAAAACGTTTGAGGAACACCTCCAGCGATTGAGAGGGGTGTTCTTGCGAATGTGATCGGCTAAATTAAAGTTTAAACCGGCCAAATGCCACCTTCTTCGTAAATCCGTTAGATACTTGGGTCACATTGTCGACTCTTCGGGGATTTCTACCGATCCCGCGAAGACGGACTGTGTCAGTTCATGGCCGACGCCCACGTCAGTTTCGGACGTGCACAGTTTCATCGGTTTTGCTTCTTATTATCGCCGATTCGTTGAGCACTTCGCCACCATTGCAAAACCCTTGCACGCTCTAACGGCGAAAGGAGTGAAGTTCCGATGGGGACCGGAGGAGGAGGCTGCATTCTGCTCCCTCCGGGACGCCGTGGTGGGTGCCCCACCCTTGCGCTATCCTGACTTTGCGAGTCCCTTCTTGCTAGACACGGATGCTAGCAACACGGGCATTGGGGGGGTGCTGTCCCAAGTCGTTGGGGGGGTCGAACGGGTGGTCGCCTATGGTAGCAGGGTGTTGTCGCCGGCAGAGCAGCGCTACTGCGTCACCCGTCGCGAGCTGCTTGCCATTGTTTTTTTCGTACAACAATTCAGACCATATCTCTATGGTCGTCACTTTACGGTCCGGACGGACCACGCGGCGCTCCAGTATTCATTGCGGGTCGCCCAGCCCTCGGGCCAATTGTCACGGTGGTTGGAAGTCCTCCAGGACTATCAGTTCACGACTACATACCGTAAGGGGTTGCGACACACAAATGCCGATGCTCTGTCGCGATTGTTGCCTTGTCACAAATGTGCGTGCTTATCGGGATCGGCGCGCTGTAAACCGCCAGTTACGGAAGGTATGGGGGCATTGGTTGCGACCGCGGGCACACCAATTGGGGATGTTCCCGCTACCCCAGGGGGTCAGGACTCGCTGCTCTCACTGTCGCTGATTGAGTGGGGCTGTCTCCAAATGGCGGACAGCTCCCTGCTAGCATTGTGCCGCAGGACGGGGGGTTCCGAAGGGGACCAGGAACGGACTGGCTCCTACGTACTTAAGCAAGGCCTGTTAATGAGATGGGACAGTTTGTCCCGGCGGCACGCGATTGTGGTGCCTTCTGCTGTGAGGGGGAAAGTTGTCTTGGCCGCACACGAACGCCTCTTGCATTTGGGAGTAAACAAAACGCTTGCCCTGCTTCAGCGTGACTATTATTGGCCGGGGATGGGGAGTGACGTGGTGAATATTCTGAAGGGATGTCTTGAGTGCGCCAGACGGAAATCACCGCCCGTGGCAGCTAATCCACCGCTGCAATCTATTCAGGTCTCGCGCACTAACGAGCTCGTTGCGCTCGATATTCTGGGGCCTTTTTCAGTCACGCCTAGGGGTAATAAGTACCTGTTGGTGGGGGTCGAATATTTTACCCGGTGGCCTATGGCGTGGCCACTCGCCAACCAGTCGGCGGCGGCTGTGACGGACGCCTTTGTCCAGGGCTACGTCCTGGACAAGGGGGCTCCCGAACGCTTGCTGACCGACCAAGGGAAAATTTTTTCAAGTAAATTGCTGCAAGAGGTGTGCGACCTGTTGGGTACTAAGAAGGTGCGTACCTCCCCGTACCACCCGCAGACGGACGG